GAATGGTCTTTTTGTTGACTTTTTTTGTGATCATAAATATTGAGTCAAACACTCGTTTCGGTCCATAAATAATGTCTGAAAATAGTTTGTGTTTTCTATTCATTGATTTAATTTTAAATTATAGATTGAAAGTTAATTTAATTACTTTTATACTTAATATGTTTTGATATCGATATAACTCTATTAATAAGTGGTAAACTGTCTAATCAAGGTGATCTAAAATATCCCTTGATAGCTATGATAATTACGGTACTCATAACACCCTCTCTCATATGGTGGTCGTAATTATTGCTCACAATTGCCTCATGTTTTAAACTTTTCACTCAATTCCCAACGATTTGATTGCAATTAATGTCGTGAATGAGTGGTCAACGAGTCGTATAGCAGACTGTAGTCAACACACGGACTGTCACTGCAATCCAGTGTTGATTAGTGGCGAAGAGTTGTCTGCATTTGTGGACACAATCCTCTAAACCGTAAACATCTCTAAAAGTGTGCGAAAAAAGCGGACAAAACGCTGATTCAAACGCCAGACGAGCAGACGATATGCCCATCGATTGGCAACCATTGCGTGTGATTTGCCATTAGATCCCAATTGGAAGTGATTGTCACCCGAGACACGGATGGAGGACACGGGCGCTCATGTGGTGGACACGACTGTCGACGCTATCGCCGAACCGGTCGAGTCGTCCGCAACACCTGAGAGGACGAGTGAGGGCACGGCTGCAGACAATGGACACAATGGTGGCGGAGATAATGATAATGAGGCCAATGATGGCAACAGTGGCGAAGAGATGCCGGATATGATGGCTATATTATATGGCAATGAGGAAGAGGCGGATGCGGACGACGATGAGGACGACTTTGTGGCCAACACTACCACCGTATCTCAAGAGTCCAATACTGGATCAGTCGGTGGTGTGGTTAAGGCAGAAGTGGTTGGGACGGCAGGTGTGGCAGAGGGGCCCTCAACAGGTGCGACCGATTCGGGTCGGAAGCGAAGATCAGATGAAGCCAACGATTCCTCTCAAAGCAATAGTAAACGCATTAAACCGGAGCTGATGTCTCCTCCAAGAAGTCGGTCGCAAGAGTCAGTCCCTCCGGCCGTAAGTTCTTGGGATCCATTTGTTGTGTGGATGTATGTATTGATGGTGTTGTGTCCATACCATAGGCAACCATACCATTGACCACCACTTGTGAACAGATCGAAGTGGAAGAGGAGTTGCCGAAAGACTCGCGACATTTCATGACTTATATATTGTCTTTGAGTGGCAATGACTTGGAGGCCAAAGACATGACTGAACTGTCGATACACTCAAAGCTGAACGACATAACGCGTACTCTTGAGTTCCGATCGATGGACACGTTTCTCGAGTCGTTTGTGCCGTTCGTGATAATGGATTTGTGGCGAAACGCCAAACAGGAGTGGGGGTCGAGACCTAAGAGGGTGTTGGGCCGCAAGTGCTCTATAATGACGAAGTGGAAGACCAATCGGATGTTCGACGGCTTGGAGTTGAAGTGCATTTCAGTGATCGGATCCGACGAGAAGCCGCACTTCCGGTTCGGACAGTTGGCAATGCTTCAGACGGCCATCCAGACTAAGGCCGACAGCAATCAGCACACCATCGGTCGACGCAAGTATTTGGCGTACATTACGAGTCACACCGTCCGAGAGACTAATCCCAACAATCAGACAGA